ACATCTTTAAATTTTGAGAGCCAAAATTTTTATTTACTCAAACAATATTCTCTATTTTGGTTATTCATTTTTTTTTTAGAAAAATATTTATTGATTTCTCTTCTTATTTTATTTAACATAATTTTTTTCTCGGTTAATGGTCAATTAAATTCAATGTGGTTTGAATTGTTTAAGGAATAGAGTATTAAAATATGTGACTTAAATATAATCATTTTACATTAAAAATAAGGAGTGATCACTTGAACCATTGATCAACATCAAATCATATCAACACTAAATAATCAGCATAAGGTCGAGCACTCATTCGATCATCGAACCACAAGGAGATTTAAATGTGTTCTCCCCAAGGGCATGGGGTCACATGGCCCCCCATCTTTGATGCCAATATTTTTTTTTTCCCTCTATATTTTTGTTTCAATTTTTAAAGTCATTATAAAATGTCAGACGAAATTGGAATATTGTATTTTTATTATAATTTTGAAGATTTCTACGTTGTTAATGGCACAAGAATGGTTAAATGTATCAAATTTTACGGCCTATCAAAGTAGGCCATTTCAAACTAGTATTTCGAAAATTTCGATAATATACTAAATTTAAAAAAATTCTCTGACGATCGTACGCTAGTCAAATCCACAAATCGTCTATGTTATCTTGAAGCTTATCTCGAGAACTACGTCATAGGCATATCAAATGGTCCAAACAGATAGCAAAAATAGTTAAAAATGTGTCAAACTTGCGTCTTAAAAAGAGGCGTATAACTCGTATTTTCTTTAAAAATTTTCAATTATTATTATTTTTGCAAGACAAATTTTCAATAGAATTTACATTATGTCATTAGGAAATTTGACATGGGATATGATATAAATTTTTTTCGAAAATTTACAACTGAAAAGTCATACCCATGTAAATTTTTTGACATAAAATTGCATGGGATATATATATATATATATATATATATATATATATATTTGATGTAAAATTTTGAATGAAAAACTCACAACTTTTTTGCAAGTTTGATTGTATCTACCTAATTCAAAATGTCAGCGTCCGCTATAACATATATATACATGGAAATGAACTCTTAAACACCGATACTTAGCTTATATTGAGTACTGATGATATCACCAATTAAATAGTGTGTCATGTCACCGGTACTTAAAAGATCATTCTTATATATATATATATATATATTATCTTAAATTTAAAAATCAAGAAAATACGTTTATGATATCTTGTAGGCCTGGGCAAAAAAACCGTCAAACCACCTAAACCGCCAAACCGAACCGATTCGGTTTGGTTTGGTTCGGTTTAGAGTAGTCAAATGGTTTGGTTTGGTTTTTTGTAGACAAAAATCATGTTGGTTTGATTTGGTTCATGGTTTGAATACCAAAACCGATGGTTAACCGCTCAACCCGCTACAAATTTAAACCATTTTTTTTTCTTTTTGAAAGAAGAAGAAGAAGAAGAAGAAGACGGGTAACTCACAAACAGAGTATGACTGTAGGAATCAAAATAAACATGATAACCAATCCAATCCAAATCCAATAAAATTCCACATTAATTATCAATTTCAATAGTAGTAAAACTAAGGTTTTATTAGCAACTGTAGACTATATTTACGATTCAATCATTCATATCTCCAGAATCATGCAGCATGATGATTAAGAATCATGCAACAAAATGGATATAAGACTTATAATTATTTCATGGAAACTAACTCATAATCAGACTCTCAAGCAATACATTTTATCTTGCTTTCGTTTTCCTTTTCAGGAAGAAAAGTCAAAAGATAAGGCACCGGAAGTTGATGCTTGATGACGACGAACTTTCGCTATTCTTCTACTTTCCAGAACCTCGTCACTAGCTTTTTTGAAACTTTTTGCTCCTGATTCAAAGGTTTCATCATCATCAAGATCAGGATTATCTCAAGATAGTTGCACTCCGACAGCCCTCTTTTTTGAAGGTTGAAAATTGTTTTCCTCATCCCCCATTGTAGATTAACAAAACAAACTTGAAGGAAAATTTGCTTCCTCCACAAGTTGGAAGAAAGTGATCTCTTCAGTTAAAAACATATACAAAAATCACAAACTAAAAGGACATTATAAATGGAATCAAATGTTGCTTCTTGACCAAACAAATGTTAGGAAAGATATTCTAGGCTATGAAACAAATACTTTTGAAGGAGACAAACTATAATGTGAAACTACATGATCCAGATAATCAATTAGCACTCGCCCACAGACATAAACAAGTGAAACTAGTCATTAAGTTTGGCAATTGTTAATTCATTACAGAAAGTATCCAAAGATCATGCGTCAAGCAAAAGAAACACTCACATTTGTAAATCAAACTCAAAAATGGGGGAACAAGGAAAAAAAGAAAGGAAAAAGAAAGAAAAAAAGGAGGAAAAAAAAAAAGAAAAAGAAAAGGGAGAGAACAATGTGTGAGAGTAACATCAATGTTTGCTTGTTCTTTATAAGTTACAATGCAATGTTATTTAAAAGTTCAAACCGAGAAACCAAACCAAACCAAACCGAACCAAAGTGGTTTGGGTTGGTTCGGTTTAAGAATTAGAGTGGATTGGTTTTGGTTTTAATTTCACTCAAACCGATTACTTTGGTTTGGTTTTGGGTTTAGGTCAAAACCAACCCAAACCAAACCACGCCCAGGCCTAATATCTTTGGGTATATCTTTAATGAGCCGCGCATACTGCACATGTGCTCGGCCCACTTGTATAAATTAATCATGAGATCATATCTTGTAATAGCATGACGATTAGTTGTATAGTTAATAAAGTAATGAATCACATGATACCACTTATATGTAACAAAACTCTTTTCAAACTTGAATAAATAACTTAAAATAAATTCTAATTACATATTTCACACTTAATTTAAATATATGCAATCAACGTTCCTCGACACATTGTGAGTTTAGAAATGTTTGTTGATCACTTAAACCATCAAATCATCACAGTATTTAAGATAATGAAAATAAATAAATAAATAAATAACGTAAGTAAATGATATATATATATATATATATATATATATATATATATATATATATACATGTGTAAATAACTTAATTTAAACCTACATTCAACTTACAGCTGTCGGAAAATAATATATTAAATTTAAATATTAAAGCAATATATTAAAGTTAATATATTAAAATAATATATCCAAGTTGAATAAAATTGTAAGAGCAATTCGTATGTTTCAATTCGAGTCGATTATTTAGCTAATTTGTATTTGAATTGGTTTAATTCCATAATCTCATGGCTATTGTAACATTATTTGTATTAAATAAAAAATTAGCTAATAATTTGATGTTGACCTATGGATGACTTCATATTTTGATTTGAACAAACAAATTGTTTTTATCTCTAACAATTGAATTCAAATCGTTATAACTATTTTTGCAAAATTGATCAATTGAAGACAAAGAGATCGTTATTAAAAGACTTGCAATTGATGCTCAATGAAAATCGAGATGGAAGCCGAGCATTTACGATAAATCAATCAAAGACAAGTGGTTTAACGACATTAGACTTAGATGTTTTTGGATTCAATGACTCATTAAAAGCTCGAGATGAATTTTTATGCACGAGAAAAATTATTTCTTAAAAATGCTTGCATAATTTTTCCCCCCAAAGGTAAGAATCTCAATTTTATATTTAAACTTATTACAAATGTCACTTACCTTGAATAATTAAGTGAAATTGTCCTTCAAAAGTCTACATCTTTCAAAACAATCAAAGAAGGAAAAATTCGGAAAAACTAACCAAGTGGACATCCAGTTGATCTATTGAACCTTCAAAAGTCTACATCTTTCAAAACAATCAAAGAATAAAAAATCTGAAAAAACTAACCAAGCAGACATCCGGTTGATCTAGTGAAAATCCGATTTGTCCAATAGTCAAATTTTTAACTGTTCTGAATTCTGACACAAAACAGCTAGTTCAGTGTCCGGTTTAGAAGCGGACGTCAGGTTGAGTTGTCCTATTGGTCAGAACATTTGGTGTTTTAACCGCTATAAATATTTCCCCACTTTGTATTCAATTCAACACTTTTAAGAACATTAAAGTGAGATATTTTCTTTTAGAATTCTTTGAACGTTCCTTTACATTCAATTTCATTTATTTTTTCATATAAAAAACTCTAATTGATTTAAACTCTTTAATTATCATCTTCATCAAAAATTTTCATATTTCTTTTTGTACTTAACTTATTTCTATCATTCGTAGAAGAGAGATATATTTTGAAGAAAAGTTTTGAACTTACATTGTATCATTTCTTCTACTTATCTATATTAAAACTTTAATTTATTGAATCAAATTTGTAAAATCATAATATTCATCAAAGTTCTTCATCTCTCTTTTGGTACATAATTTATACCTTATTCATTAAAAGAGAGCTATTATTTTGGGAGGATTTTTGAACTAACATTGTATTTATTTCTTCTTCATCTTCTCATCGAAAAACTTTGATTGATTCAATTAAACTTTGAAATCATCATATTCATTAAAGTTTTCTCATCTAAATATGAACTATCATTTTTTGCTATTCATTAAAACGTTAATCTCTCTTAGTATTTAATTCATTGAAGTACTTTATTTCGTTATACTTATGAGTCATATGGAGGCCCTGCAAAACTCAATAGTGTAGTCGTATTGAGATCCCTTAAACTCGAGGTGGGTGCTGACAAAAACTGAGCCTTAGTATTCAATATTGTGAATTGAGGTTTCTTGAATAAGGACTGGGACTTTGAGATGGGTGTTATAGAAGCCATCACAGGATTAAGAAAAAATTAATGACTTGGCGTGGACAGATCAAACAAGGGTTATTGTTGAGTGCAAACAAGATCAAGAGTTTTGAGTGAGAGTATTCTTGAAGTTAGAGGCTATAGATTCTAGTACGTGTATGTATATGTTTGAACTAAAATACGGATTTATTGGTGGTGGATGATAACAACTACAAGGCCATTCTTCCAAGGATATGGATATATTTATTGAATGTTCAGAAGATGTTCCTGCACGGCAAAAACAGTGGACGGTGCCGTTCCCTGCGTTACGACGTCGTGTTACGCTGGTTAATGAGTCCTAGATTTTTATTTATTTATTTTTTGTTTGTAGCTTTCCATACATGATGGAATTATTTGTGCCATCAAATTTAGGCATTCGAGAACAATAAGCCCCCATTTGACCCCATTAAATTACATTATATTTTTTTCTCTTTTATTTTTAACCACGCAATTTTTCATAAAATAATATTATACGAAATCGAAGATTTTTCCTTCTTTTTCAACTACTTATTTTTCAAGAAATAATATTCCACCTATTTTCATTTCAAAAAATGGGAGCCCAATCGGGGCTAAAATAATATTTGTTAATTTTAGAATATCGGAATAGGTAAATTGCAATAGAGGTTATTAAACTTTTATAATACTTGTAATTAGATCATTGAACTTTTAATGTGGTAC